AGAGAATCTGGCAATTAAACTAGTTAGTGGATTTAAAAAAAAAAATAAAACATCTAAATAAAAAAATAAAAAAAATAAAACATCTCCAGATTTAGTGGGTTAGAACAGCACTGTATTCTTGGGCCCCATGGTCCTGTGGGCTACCTGGCTTGGTTGCAAAGCTCTGGCTTGGGACTTCAAAAGGAACACAGATCATCTGCAGACACGCTGGCCTGGGTGTGTGGCTCCTTTCTGTGGCCGCAGTGGTGGCCATGGCTCAGTCACATGGATCACAGGTGACGTGGGCTCTCCTGCAACTGTGATTCTTGAGGCCTGGCAGCTGGTCTTTGAGAGTGGGTTTACCAAGAGACAGAATGGGATTGGCCAGTTCCTTGTGGTTGGAGCTGGAAGCTAGAATATCCTGTCTGTCACTTTCTATTGGCTCAACTGGACCACGGTCCACTCAGACGCAAGAGGAGGAAACAGTCCACGTCTCAGAAAGAAGCAGATCAAAGGATCTATGGTCTCCACATGATGCCTCTAGGGAACTCATGTCGCACAGCTGCTTCACTCATCGTCATACACTGTATCCTTTGCCCTAAGCTGCCCTCAGCTGTTGTGTTATCAGACACTTTCTTCTAACATCCAGACCAGCCAATGAAGGGTTCTACATGGCTTAACTCTTGTCACCTGGTGACACATGATTTTTAGTGCTAAAAAGAGTTTAAAGGCTATAAACCAAAGTGATAGCCAGAGCCACCACTGACGGAGTTACCTGACAGTCCACTGTGAGCTAACCAGAGGCATCACTGTAAGAGATGCATTTTACCTTGCTTTCCAATCCAGTCATGTAAAATTTCATACAACCACTTTTAGTGTAAATGCTGAGGACTGCTCTAAAGACAGCCATAAAATCCTGTTTATTCTTGGCATCCCAGAGCTCCAAGAAATTTCTAAAAATGAAAATAGTCATGAAAATTTCAGCTGCTATGATAAGAGCAAAGATTCAAATCACTCTCTGATTATTGTGAAATCTCAGAGAATATCAGAATGGTAATGGACAGACACGACAGTTTTCCAAAGGGAAGGAAATGGGAGCTCTATTTTAATTCCCAGGAAACTTATAAAATGGGAACATTTAAATGTCATATCTATTTTTTCTGATAATGATATTATATGTTGTTCATAGTGGAAATTTTAGATAATATCCAAAAGTTTAAGGTGAAAAGTAAAATCACTATTTTCATACCACCTAAAGATAACAAATGCTAGTTTTTCTATTGTGCTTCTAGGATTTCAAAATATTTATATATTAGATGTAAAATATGATGCCTACATTTCATTCATATTACATCTCACTATATATTTTACTTTGTCATTGAAATTAAATTGTGATAATTTCCCCCTTTGTCATTTATTTGAACTGTAAAATTATTTACACTAATTCATCACACAGATTGACCTAGTTCCCCATCCCTCCACTGATCCATAATCTTTGTATTATAAATAGCCCAGCAACCATCACTTATGTTCAGAAAACTACAGATAACTTCTTAATTGCATCATCCAATTTGACACAAACTTTCACTGAATCCTTGTTAACAGTGTGAAAAAATATGGTCTGAATGGGAGCACCTGCGGGGAGAGTTGTCACTGCTTAAACAGCACATGCTGAAGCTGGTGTCTAGCACATCTATAATAAGATCTACTGATGTCTTTGGTGTAAAACATTTTTCAGAACTATTTCCAAAAATTTTATAAAGAATCTGGAGGCACAGGCTGCCACTGTAATTATATTTTTGTCTTCATCTTCCTCCAGATTTATTTTCCACCTTCTTCTGCTCTGCTCTGTGCTGTGGTGGGGCTGGTCCTCATGGAGGCCTTGCCTCTTATGGAACCCTGTCAAGCCTGTGGCACAAGCTTTGGCCTACCTGGTGGAGGACACAGTCCTGTAGAGCAGAGACTGTCCTGACTGATTACCGCCAGCCAGCCACTAGTTCAGAGGACATGCTTGCACAGCCCTGGTAAGATCAGCAGAAATGAAACCAGTCACCACAATTGACTAGCTGAACTGTGGACTCAAGTAAAATTATTTTTTGTTTCAAATTTTTAATTAGTGCATATTGGTTATACAGATTCCTGGGTCTCATTTTGAAAGATGTGTACATGCACATAACACACTTGGATCATCTGACACTTCATCATCCCCTGCCCCTTGGCCTCCTCTATATTATACATTTGAGGGAGTGTCTCGGTTACTTTTCTCCTGTAGCTGAGGCAAAATACCCGACACTCAAAATTGAAGGAGGAAAGGTTTATTTAGCTCACAGTTTGTGGAGGTTTCCATCCATACTCAGCTGGCTCCAAGGCAGGGTGGCACATGGCACAGGGGCAATCACTCATGGCAGCAGAAGACAACAAAAGCAGCAAGAGCAAAAAGGCAGAAAGCAAGCCTCTTTTCCTCCCTTATACTGTATGCTGGCTATCTGTCCATGCCATCTCCATGCCCTCCTCTTCCACAAGCTCGGGATGTTTACACAGTAAGGACCTTGGCCTCTGCTGAGTCGCTTAGTTAAACGTCTAAACTTCTCAAGTGGATGCAATGTATCAACCATTACAGGGGGTGTAACCATTACACACACAATATATTTTGACCATAGCAATCCCCCTATACCTCCCCTTCCACTCTTCTCCCCCTGACTTTCTTCTTCTTGTCTAATAGTCTCCCTTCTCCTTCCTTGTTGCATCTTTAGGTTTCACGTGTGAGGAAGAACACCTGACATTTGTCTTTCTGAATCGGGCTTCTTTGGCTCAACACGATGATTGAGGATTTCCAGATCCATCCATTTTCCTGCAAATGACAAACCTTCATGCCTCACGAC